AGAACTTTATAAGATAGGTGAAGCAAAAATCAATATCGTTGCCATATCTACAAAAGGATAACATTGGAAGGAAGTTGAAGGCGCTTGGTAAAATAAAATCATATTTTTTTTATTAATTTCTTTATATTGGTCATAGTTAGAATATATTATTTTTCATAACATGGATCAGATTCAAACCATATGTGTGTATGTACATATGTAATTCGAATCATTCATGAAGTTTAAAGTTAAAGGAATGTAGAGGGCCAGAAATCGGCGAGAACATATGCATAGAGGGCCACGAAATCATGTGCGAACATTGAAACATATTGACCTAACGTGAGCAAAGTGGAAATCTGTTTCCCACTTACATACATGATATGTCAGTATTATCATTTTATTTTATACATGTATAAATACTCTTAAGTATAAATAATGTTTTACACAAGTAGACAGAATATTAAACTATATAATAATCGATTAATATGAGAATGATGATGATAGCAACCAAACAATTTTTGTACTATAAACAGTAAAGAAAGAGCAACTGTAATGAAATGTCTTATTAACTCATAAATATCTACTATATTGGTTTTTTATTATTTGTGTTGCGAATTATTACTGGTAAGTAAATATCGTGAAATTTTATATGTAGATTAAGGTTAAGACATGCTATAGTTTTGACAAATGTATTTTAAATATTTGCTGGTTTTATTTAAGTTGTATTTTTGACAAAATGAAGCGGGCACGAATAAAGGCTACAGTTACTGTTCCAACAAGACGGAAAACGACACAAGAAAATGTTAACACAGAATCTACATCTACAACTGATTGCATTGAGAAATCTAACAATGAAGTTAATGATACTTCTTCAATATTACAACAACAAACTTCGGAGGATAATGTCCAAGAAACACAACCACAGGATGTTCCAATAACAGTAGAACAAATAAAAATTGAAATGATCCATGAAAATGTCTCACTTAAAAATGGGATCAAACGAAGTTTTGATGAATTGAGTAAAGAAATTATACAACCGTTGGAAAACACAAATACAACAGAATTAGGTGAGTTGGATAAGCAGTATGGTAAAGGATAGTTTCTTTAAAGTAACAAAATAAAAATTATCAGTAATTTATAATGCCTAGGTTCTCCTACAAAATTATCACAGAGCAGATTAAGTTTTATGAGGCCAGTACCTAAATTAAATAGTAGTGGCAGAGTAAGAAGGAATAGTGTACAAGGAAGTGGAGCTAGTGCAAGTGAATCGGAAGATGATAGCAAGAGAACAAATTCTATCGCTAACAATCATACAAAAAATGATTTAGTTCATACAGCAGAAGCTACTAAGGACACAGTTGTTAATAATACTAAAATGTCTAGTTTAACAAAATCGAAAATGGGTCAAAAGAGACGTGTCTTAGTATCTGAATCTGCAAGGAAATTAGCTGATGCTAGAAGAGAATTCAATTTGAAACATGAAAATAAGATACCAGATAGAAGCAAACTTACTATGTATGATCTAATACATTATAATCCAGTTACAAATCCTATGAAAAAATCTAAAGATTCTGAAACGGTAGCAAGAAAACTTTCAACATGCCAGTAAGTATCTTATTAAATATAATGCCCAAGGTAACATAAAAATATTATACAATTGCTAAATTTTGTAGACCTGACGAATTACAAGAAGAAGAAAATGAGGATGACCCATCATCTGCAATGCCTGTACCTCAAGTAAAAGTAGGACCAGATGGCCAACTAATAATAGATGAACAAAGTCTTGTTATAGAGCAAACCAATGCAAAAAAGAATCGTGAAATGTTAGCCAAGGAAGCTATTATTGATGATGATACTGGAGGTGGATTTTATAAAAAACGTCAAAAAAGTAAAGAATGGCCCAAATGGGAAACTCTAAAATTTTATAAAGCATTAAATACAGTTGGTACTGATTTCCTGTTGATGCAAAGTCTTTTTCCAAATAGAACACGTCAGGAAATTAAAATCAAATTTAAAAAAGAAGAAAAAATAAATAGAAATCTGATAGAAAAAGCACTCGAGTATCACCAAGAATTTGATACTGAATTACTAGAAAAATCATTCGGTAAGTTTTATAATTTTGTAACTTTATATATGTCTAGTCTAAACTATAATCTTAATTTATTTTCACAGCTTTGTTGGAAAAATCAGAAAAAGAGTTTTGTACTACACAAGAAAAAAAAAAGCAAAAGTTATCAAGGAATTTCGAAAAAATTAAAAAAGCAGATAGAAAACGAAGATGCAGTAAGTCAAAATAAATTTTATAAACTTGATACTTTCATAAACTAAACTTTTATAAACTAGATGTCTATTTAATAGTAGAACTGTTGCGAGTTACTCTCGCAATCAATTGTAAAATAGAAGAACGTAGACAAAGCTCAAATGGTTCTGAGAGTTCTACATGATAATAAGCTGTCGACAAACATTGTAGTACGTTTCAAGAGTAAACATTCTCAAAGCTGCTCTCAAATGGACACACAATTTGAGAATACTCTCGAGTGCAACAATCGAAAAAAAACAAATAGACATCTAGCTTAATATACAAACTATTTTTAAAATTGGAATATTTATACTTTCAGGAATCGTAGCAACTAGTATTGCAGAAATGGATGCATCAGATGAAGAAGAAGGTTCAGATTCAAAGGTACAAAACGAAAATATAGAAGATAATGAACACCAACAATCTCTTAAAAAAACTCATAAAAAAAAACGCAAAAAAATTAAGGACGAAAAGAGAACATCAGAAGTACCATTAATGGAAACGGAAGATGTTGAATCATTAAGTGTATGCTCAGGTTTTGATAGTGATACGGAAATTTATCATGTACGACCAACTAGATCCGGAAGATTACCGAAAGTAAAAAAACTGCAAGGACCAGACATAAATACACTTGATAATGAAAGATTGAATTATGATTCAAGTGATCAGGAATGTACAACATTGCCAAAAAATACTACAAAAGATCTGGATAACATAGTTTTTGAAAATGCTAATAGTAACCCAGAAATGAATTATGCAAATTCTGTTAAAACAGTCATACCAAATATTAGTAACGTAGAACCAGGATCCTTGCTCATTTTGTCAAAAGAATCTCCAGAGGAGCCTGGGAAAAGTGTTCTACAAGTTTACATGATTAGTTCCAACGTTAACTCCTCAGAAAATATTAAGGAACAAATCGCCACACCTACAAATTTACCACCAGAACTTTTAGCAACGGTAACCACTAGATTATCAAATGCAGAATCAATTGCAGTCAAAGAAGAGTACGAATAATCGAATATAAACCATTTCCCAGAGTATATGATATTAAAAAATACAAGTCATGTTCATAAATCAATACATTATCACATACTTCATTCATAGCCATAATTATTATTATTGTCATTTCGCTATCGATGCGCAATATTACAATTATGCAGCATAGTGATATTTCCTATGTTGCATATAAAGTTAACGAAGAAGCAATTCAGAAAATAAATTTTGTATGAAATGATATAAACTAAAACCTGTCATATATAGGTCTTTTAAGTAATTATACTGACGTGTCCTTAGATAAATA